GCATATTGAAAATGTGTCTGCTGGTTCTCAATGGCTATCCGATATCCGCATACTGGAAGTTTGGGCGAGGTGCCGGTAAGGGCATATGAAACATGTTTCAGGCCCAAACGACACCAGGGGTTTTCTGGAAACATCATCCATTGTCGGAGGGGTGCGACAAGGTAAGTTGGCCGTCAGAGGGGCATGCCGCAAATTAATCAAAATTTCCGGGGCATCTCGAAAAGTTTCCCAAAAAAAAAAAAAAAACAGAATTAAAATTAGTGAGTGAGCGAGCAAATTTTTGACACCGCCATCTTTGACAATTTTTTTATTTTTTTTGACACAGTCAAATGCCCTGAAAATTTACAGATGTGCACTTCACATAATAAAAAACTCATCAAAAAAAGTTTAAAAAAATAATAAAACTCTTTAAGGATAACAAAGACTGCTTATACGACGCAGTACAGCACACGCCAAAAGGCAAAAAAAGAAAGTTGTTTCATCAAAGACATCATTCATTCTCTGAAAGAGAACAAATAGTGAGTGGACGAGCGTGTTTTGACACTCACATCATAAATAACTCACAAAAAACAATTGAAGAAAAACAAACTTATTTTTAGACCCCGAAATAAATTTTGGCCGGGGCCAAACGCCTTTAGGTTTGGACCCCAAACATGACCCCGAGCGCCCGTACGTACGGAGGTCGACACGGGGATCTCCGTGCGTACAGGTGTTTGGGGTCCCATTCGGGGTCCGAACCGTACAGGCGTTTGAGGTCCCGTTCAGGGTGCGAACTGTACATGCGTTCGGGGTCCGAAACTCGAAGGTGTTTGGCTCACTCCAATATTATTTCGAGGCCTAAAAATAAGTTGTTTTTTCTGAGTTATTTTTTAAGAGTTCTATATAATGTGAGGTATATATCTATTACATTTGAAGTCATTTTGTTGAGCCAAACAAAAATGAAAAATCGCCAAAGATGGCGGTGTCAAAACGTGCTCGCCCACTAACTATTTTGTTCTTTTTCATTTTTTATTTTTTGTTTTCACTTTCTTGTGGGGCCTAAACAATGTAATTTTTTTTTTAACTTTTCAAATCCGTTTTGTATCATGTGAAGTACACACTTGTAGATTTTCGGGGCATTTGACTGTGCGAAAGTAGAATTAAAAATGGCCAAAGATGACAGTGTCAAAAATGTGCTCGCTCACTCATGAATTTTAATTCTCTTATCATTTTTCCTTATTTTTATTATTAATTTTATTTTTTGTCTTGAATTTTTATTTGCAATATGGCAAGGAATTTGGATGTTATAATAAGACAAATATTGTTTTTCTTATTTTTCTTCATAACTTAGTTTTTTTTCAGAGTTTTTTTAATTATGTTTTTTTTTTTTTTTTTTTTTTTCACGTTTAGCCTGAACAGGTTCGGCCTTAACAGGGCTCTGGTACGTTTGGGCGTTCGGCCCGTCCCGGACGTTGTTCACGCCGACCACACAAAAAAAAAAAAAATCAAAAAAAAAAACAAAATTTGAGAAAAACGTGTGTTATGCATAAAAATAAATTAAACAACTTTTGTCTGAGCATTACATCAAAATTCCTTACCAAATTTGAAATAAAAATAACATACGAAAAATAAATACTAATAAAAAAATCAGAAAAAATGAAATGAGAAATCAGCGAATTGAAATTAGTGAGTGTGAAAGCCCGTTTTCGACACCGCCATCGTTGGCGATTTTTCATTTTTGTTTTGGCATAGCAAAATGCCTTTACAATTTACAAATGTGTACTTCACATAATACAAAACTCATGAAAAAAGTATCAAAAAAAATTGTTTTGACCCCGAAATAAATAAAGTTGGGTAGCACTGCAGTGCTAGCCGGATTAAGTGAGCGGAATATCCAGTGTTATCATCTGGCATCCGGTTTATCCGGATTTCTGGATAAACTGAGAAAAGGGTCAGAGAAACCGAAAAAAAAAAAAAAAAGGTTCGTGTGCAGGGAGGGCAACCTGAGTTATTAAACTTGAAGGTTTTTTGCCCAAAACAGTTTGTTGGTCAATCCGCCTCTTTTTCACCTCCTCCCTCCCTCTTCTCCTCGTCCTCGTCCATCTCTTTTTCGTCGTCCTCCCTCTCGTTCTCCTCCTCATCCTCCTCCCCATCCTCCTCTTGTTTGTCCTCCACCTTCTCGCCATCCTCCTCCTCCGGTTCTTCATCCTCCACCTTCTGGCCATCCACCTCCTCCTCTTCCTCCTCCTCATCGTCGACGAACGATTTGCAAGTCTTTATCGCAACTAGCCCCCTGAACCTTTTTTTTTTTTAATCAATCAATCAATTAAAAAAACGAAAAAAATCCCAATCGAATCAGTCGATTCGATTAGATCTTAAATCTTGATATTGATCAAGATCCAATCGAATCGACTGAATCGATTTTTTTTTTTTTGATTTTTTTAATTAATTGATTGATTAATAAAAAAGAAAAAAGGATTCGGGAGTTGGGCAGCGGGTGAGGATGGTCGAGGAAAGAATGCCCGCTCCCACTCCCCTCACTCGGCGCCCTCCTATCGTGACCCCCCTTTCGCCTCATCCTCCTCCCTCCAACTCTCCTAATCCTCCTCCGAGTCTCTCTCCTCCTCGTCCTCGTCTGCCTTTTCTTCGTCGTCCTTCCTCCCGTCCTCATCCTCCTCCTCCTCCTCCTTGTCTTCGTCCTCCTCCTCGCCATCCTACTCCTCCTACTCCTCCTCCTCTCTCTCATCCTCTTCGACGAACAATTTGCAAGTCTGTATCACAACCAGCCCACCGAAACCCTTATTTTTTTTCGATCTTGGTTAGCAGTTATGGTACAGTTCTCGATTACAACCCTAGGGCCTAAATCAATCAATCAATCAATCAATCAATCAATCAATCAATCAATCAATCAATCAATCAATCAACCAACCAACCAATCAATCAATCAATCAATCAATCAATCGAATCAATCAATCAATCAATCAATCAATCAATCAATCAATCAACCAATTAAAAAACCCGAAGAAAAATATCCAATCGAATCAGTCGATTCGATGGGATCTTGATCCAATCGAATCGACATTTTTTTTTTTTTTTTTTTTTTTTNTTTTTTTTTTTTTTTTTTTCAGCCACGGCGCGGCACACGACCAGAAAAAAAAAAGAAAAGAAAAGAAAGAAAAGAAAGAAAGAAAGAAACGGCCATGTGCCTGACTGAACTGCTAGAAAAGGCCAGCCCGAGTTTCAACTGCAATTGTTCAACTGCAATTGAAACTTGGGCCCTGTCTAAACTGCGAAAATGCAGTTCGAAATGCAATTGCAAACAGTAACCCTCACTGCGCCGTAGTTATTTCTTTTTTTTTTCTGCCTATTCCAACTCCTTTCTTTCGAGATGCGGTTGGCGCTTTTAGTTTCTATGAAGCATAGTTGGCCCCCCAAGCCCAATGTATCACCCGCGGTCATGACCGCGGGGCCATGGAACGCATGCGGTTGGGATCATGACCACCGGGGCCAACCGTGTGCGGTCGAGTGCGGCCGCAAAACCCGGATATTTTTAATTCCTAGAAGAATAGGCCAAAAAAAAAGAAAAAGAAATAACTGCGCGGACAACTGCTGCACAGTTCCGAATTCGCAGGAAGGAATAACAACAGGGCACTGCGGTTGTGGGCCGAGGGAGGGCAGTTAGAAAACTGCAAAAACAGATTCTGAACTGTTACAGCTTTGTGCACTTCTAGCCATTGGAAGAATTCGGAACTGGCAAAATCAGGCGGCCACTTGTGTTTTGTATTTATTTATTAATTTATTTTCCTTGCCTGAGACTTTTTTGTTTTTTTTGTTTTTTCTGCGCCTGCTCATGCCACGGCCGGGCTGTCTAGGCCACACCCGTACCTGGGCCATGGCCGAGATCTCTTGGCCACGCCCATGGCTGGGCCACAGACGAGATGTCTAGACCACCGCCGAGGTGTTTAGGCCACGGCGGAGATGCCGAGGCCACACCCCCAGGGAAACGAGCCAAAAACGGGAAGGCCTGCTACTGGTAACTGCTCCCAGGCCAGGCCACGGGAAAAAGAGCGGTACCACAACCGCCACCTCCTGTTTTTTCCAATTATTAAACCGGGAGGCCGTCGAACGCATGATTTACTGTTTTTCTTGCAGTTTCTAACTGGTCTTCGCCCACACTTGCAGTGGACTGTTATTTCTGCGAATTCTGAACTGTGCAGCGGTCACAGGTGCAGTTGTCTCCAATAAAAAATGTGGGGTTGAAGGGTTTGAAAATCCCTACATCCCCGTATTTGTTTTTTTGGATTTTGACGTTTTTTGTTATTTTTAAAAAAATAGAAAATGAAAAAACAAGTATTGTAATAATTTAAAAAAACATAATAAAAGAAGGGATTTTTTTCATTTTTTTCTGATTGCTGGTGGGATAAACACGGTGCACATGTTTATTTGCTTCTTTTTTTCACTGACATATGCAAATGTAAAAGGAAAAAACTTGAAAAAAGATAATTAAAAAAAAAAGAAGCCAAAGCCGTTCTCCTTTTTTTTTTCATCTTTTTTGAGTTTTTGACAGACACACATACTGATTGATTGATTGATTGATTGATTGATTGATTGATTGATTGATTGACTGTGATTGGCTGGTTGACTGTGATTGGTTGATCGATTGATTGATTGATTGATTGATTGATTGATTGATTGATTGACTGCTTGATTGATTGATAAAAAAAATAAAAAGAAAGGATTCGGAGGCTGGTAGCCGGTTAGGATGGTCAATCAATCAATCAATCAATCAATCAATCAATCAATCAATCAATCAATCAATCAATCAATCAATCAACCAATCAATCAATCAATTAATCAATCAAAAAAAAAAAAAAAAACTAGTATTCAATCGAATCAATCGATTTCATTGGATCTTGATTTCAAAATCAAGATCCGACGCAATCGATTGATTTGATTGAATACTGGTTTTTCGTTTTTTTTATTTATTGATTGATTGATTGATTTAAGAAAAAAAAACAAAGGGTGAGGGGGATGGGAGCCGGGTGAGCGGGATCGAGGCGAGCCTCCACAAAGTCGAGGAGGAGAAGGAGGAGAAGAGGGAGGAGAAGGAGGAGGAGGAGGAGGAAGAAGAGGAGGAGGGAGGAGAGCACGCCGACGATGAGGAGGACGGGGAGGAGGAGGAGGAAGAAGAGGAGGACGAGAAGGAAGACGAGGAGGAAAGGGCCAACGCCAATGAGGAGGGAGGAAATCACGACGACGATGAGGAGGAGGGGGAGGAGGAGGGGAGGAGGGGGAAGAAGAAGAAGGAGAAGACGACAACGAGAAGTAGGAAGAGGAGGACGAGGAGGAGGAAGAAGAGGACAAGGAGGAGTGAGGAGAGCACTACGACGATGAGGAAGAAGGGGAGGAGGAGGGGCAGGAAGAGAAGGAAGACGAATAGGAAAGGGCCGACGCCGACGAGGAGGGAGAAGAGCATGACGACGATGAGGAGGAGGGGGAGGAGGAGAAGGAGGGGGAGGAGGAAGAAGAAGAAGAAGTAGAAGACGAGGAGGTGGAGGAGGACGAGGAGGACGAGAAGGAGGAAGAAGTGGACGAGGAGGGAGGAGAGCACGGCGACGATGAGGAGCAACGGGAGGAGGAGGAGGGCGAAGAGGAGGAAGACGCGGAGGAAAGGGCCAAGGCCGACGAGGAGGGAGGAGAGCACGACGACGATGAGGAGAAGGGGGAGGAGGAGGAGGAAGAGGAGGGAGATGAGAGGAGGAAGAGGCGGCGGAGGTGGACTGGGGTTAAGGGGGAGGCCGGGCACCACCTGGAGGAGGAGGAGGAGGTTTTCGTCGAAGAAGTTCAAGGCCGGCGACGATGACTCCAACACCAAAGCAGCGGGGAGGCGGGGCAGTTGTCCATCAGTGCTAAAGCAAAGGGGGGGGGAGCAACGTGTAGCGCGGCAACGGGGCAGCGGGCCGTTGGTGGGGAGGGATGGGGGGCAGGCCACTACACTGCGCGTAGCACGAAACCGGGGCTGCGCGATTTCAAAAAAAAAACAAAGCCCGATCTGGGTCGTCGATCGTCGTCGATCAATGGTCCAAATCGGAATTTTTTTTTTTCAAAACCGGTCGACCGCCTTCACAATCTGAAAGTGGGACGGTGTTCAGGCTGCCACCCTATACCCCACCACACCCCAGATGCGATTTCCGAGCCTTGAGCATACTTTGCGCAGGTCCCGGAAAATGTATTTCCCATAATATTCGGGGCCTTTTTTACGGCCGGATGAACCGGATTATTGGAGGTCCGCCAGATTCTCGAAAATTCTACTTAGAAATAAAGTGAAAACAAAAAGTAAAAAGTGAAAAAAAATGAAATAGTGAGTGGCCGAGCACGTTTCGACACCTTCATCTTTGGAGATTTGTAATGTTTTTTTGGATAAGCAAAATGACTTCAAAATTTATAGGTATGTACCTCACATCATAGAGAACTCTTAAGAAATCATCAGAAAGATTTGGCGTGAGCCAAACCCCTTCAGGTTCAGACCCCTAACGTTCGAACGTACACAAGTCCGTCCGCGGGCCTACATACGTACGGGTTTGTTAAACTGTATATATATATATATATATACACAGTTGCCATGCCGAACGTTCGAGGGCCCCCGGGCAGACCCCTGAACGTTTGGGCGTTCGGGGCTCGAACCTAAAGGGGTTCGGTCCCCGCAAAAACATATTTCGGGGCCTAAACATTTTTTATTTTTATTTTTTTTTGTGACATGTTGTACACGCATATAAAATTTTACGGTATTTTATTGAGCCAAAAAAAAAAAAAAATTGTCAAAGATGACGGTGTTCAAAGGTGCTCGGCTACTTAGGTTTTTTTTTTCTTCACTTTTTACTTTTTTTGTGGTTTTATTTTGATGCCTCAAATATGTTATTATTTTTTGAAACTTTTTGCATGAGTTTTGTAGCATGTGAAGCACACATATGTAAAGTTGCAGGGCATTTGGCTATGCCAAAATAAATTAAAAACCTCCAAAGATGGCGGTCTACCCACCTTTCCCCAGTTCATCCCCCTTATCTGGATTCAAACAACATAAACAATAAAAATAGATGAACTTCCTAGATGCAACTTCTTTACTTAATTTGAGTTAAATCCAAAAAGAAACAGAGATTCATAAGGCCACATGCATACATAGCATACAAATACAAGGATGCTGTACTTTAGTGGGTTTACACATGAATAACTTGACGAATTGCTATACATGAAAGTTCCCTGCCCGAGAACCTTGCATAGGTTCCGACAGAGTTCCCACAATCGGTGGGTAGATCTCCCAGAAGGCCTTGATGCAGTCCTACGGGTTTCCAATTTCCCCCTGCCGCCTCCTCTCCGAACCACAGACGAGAATAAGAAGGGTAGAAAAAAGGGTTTCAAACTCTTTAAATATAAGAAAGGGCCAACTCAACTTGTATGAGAGGGTCTTGGTCTCTTAGAGCGTGTGTGGGCTTCGCAATAGTGGCCAAAAACGCAGTAAGGCAGTTAACCCTCGATTAAAATGCCGAGTAATGACCCTCTGACTAACCTTCAAGCCGCAACAATGACGCCCTCCTTACAGAGCCTAACCACTCCCTTAAGTCGTGATGTCGCTTCCTCTAACCAAACAACAGTCACACAGCCTAGATAGTCTGCATTGGAATAGAGCACACCCCCTGTGCTTTATTCGAGATGCAGGCAAAACGGAGCAGAAACTTCACAAAACATTGCACGCACAGCAACCGTGCGCAACAATAGAGCACCGTGGCAATGCACAAAGTTAAACGCAGTAAGTTAATAACATCACACAATAAGGTTAAGCGGCTAAGTTGACTAACATTGCAGACGCACACAACAAAGCTCAGCAAAGTGCACAACAAGTGCACTGTGAGTCTAGAACAGAATGCTCAGTGAACTATTTTGCAAAGTGCATAACAGAGTTGCTCCGCGTGACACAGGACAACAGACAGCAAGGTGCACAATAGAGCAACAAGTCTAGTAAAGAACGCAAGGTCGTGTAGCAGCACGCACAGTGAAACAGTTCAATAGCAATACTGCAAAACTCAGTAAGTAACAGTAAGGGACGACTAAGGCACTGCACAAATACAGCAGCGGGGAGCAGCAACAAGAGACGTAGCAAACACTGACTCTACAGATCACCGCCACAACCAGGTAAGCGCCCACACCACCGACGATTTGCACCGATAGTCAAAATGAACTAATCTGTGAGGCATTGAAGAATCGATTGACCATGCTCTCATAGTCCGTACTCGCACTAAAATTCTGATTCCACTAAGTTACTGCCCCCTCTGTTATGCAGAAGATCTCAACTCTTGTTGAGCCTGCCGTAAATACTTGTGCTGTCTGCTAACAAGTGTACTTCCCCAGCCTAATTTCTAAAAGACAAAGTTGCTCACCCTGAATGACAAGCACGCCAATATTGGTGCGAGCCTCTACCAGTTCCCCTCTTATCCTGTCATGCTCAGACATTGCTCACTGTCCTTCGGCTCCCAATAGGCACACTCACGCTCAGATGTTCTCATAGCAGATCATCGTGGCTGGCGGTAAAGTAAATAGACCGTGAAAACGTTACTTCTCCTTTCTATCCGAACTTCATTTCTCCTCAGGCCGAATCTTCCTCTATTACATGCATGTGCTCCGCCTCACTTCAAACGGGAAGCAGACATGTCTGCGCGGTTAGCGCTATGACGACGGCTACCACGACGTGGAAACAAACATCGTGGAATCAAGGACGATGGAAGTGGCCATGATGACTGTGACGATGAGCTCGATCCAAGAGCGGGAAGTACCAACGCAATGAATGATGACCATCATTGGGACGAGGAGCGTGGTAATGAGGACTACGACCGTGAGGAACACAAAAAAAAAACGTGCTACGATGAAAATCTTAGGCATGATCACCAAACAGATGGCACCATGGCACGAATCTACCCCACTACTCATTAACTGTGCGAAATGAGAATGGATCCAACACGAGATCCTGTCGGGACAACTACGGCCTCATGTAAACAATGACCATGAGGACAAAGGAACATGATCACAGGGAGGAAGATCGTCGGGAGGATTGCGGTCAACTGGTTAATGACGAGGACGACCAGATGGATGATGATCATCAGAATGATGAGCGAAGGCACATGGTAATGAGCCTCAATAGTAAACAAGGCGATTAATAGGACGAGAACCTGCATATCGAGCACCATCTGAATCGGAATGGTGAGCGACTCTTAAGAGAAACGTATCCCGTAAACTAGTATAAGCAAGAGCGCCAAAATGAAGATGGTGACTGCTCGAAGCATGATAGTGACCATACACGCGGAGTGAAGGGGAATACAACCTTGGTCAGGAATAGTACTGACCACGGTCATCGACTTCGCTCCTTCTTGCTCTCCAAATATGCCAAAATGATAATAATTTCCCACTACAACGTGGAAAGCTACATCACCCCTTAGGCCTTACTCCCGCTCGCTCCTGCGAGGTACGTGCCTTCCATCCTCCCTTTGCATATAGACTCGACCTCTCCGTTGTTGTCAGTATTCTCTTTGCTTGCTGATATTGACGTTAACTCGCTCCAAAAACACCGCGCGGTAAAAAAAAAAAAAAAAAAACGACCATGGGAACCTTTCTCGATTTTTTAGAGTCATCCTTGCGCAGGGTCCATACTAATCCTCTCCGAATTGTTCCAATTTTAACGGATGTCCCAAAGGACTGCCTCGAGGGTACGGTCATGGGCATTCCCTCGAAACTGCTTCGTTCCCAGCAATTCAGAATTGTAGTATTTTACTTAATATCTCCTTCCTCTGGAGCCCGAACTCAAGTCTACATTTCAATAGTCCACGGGTGTACCAACCGAACTAAGCCAGTCAGTGTCACACCCGGTCCCAGTTCCAACACCGGTACCACAGCCTAAAAGTCTCAGAGTGGAACAACAAAATAATAATAATGATAATAATAAAATAAAAGGAAAGATTTGAGACTATACCGAGAAGGGGGGGGCTGTCGACACACCTTTGTCTCACCAGCTTGTCCCCAATCAGGGATCGACGATAAATCCGAGGGTGCATGGTCCCACTAGACCCTCCCCCTCGGCTCCTTCAAGCTGCTTCACCGCTCCTGTGTTGTCGGTCGCTAGCCGCGATCCCCAAACCTACCTGATGAAAGTCCAATACCGTAACCAGTAGTGTTAGCCCCAAGGTTGACACTAGCAATTGCGGAGTTTCTTATAAAGGGGCTCAACACACTTGCGCAACCCTATTGAAACGCCCAAAGGCCAGACCTTGGCCTACCAGTCAAATCCACAACCGCCAGAGGGTGTAAACACGTCGCACTGAGCCGCCTGGTACCGCTCAATGCTGTTGTACGTTGTTGAGCGCATCGGTCCCGCACGGGGACCCTCCCGACCGCGTCATGTAGGATTTTGCAGGACTTGTCGCAGAGAGCATTTGCCGCTCCGGCCGAGTGCGCAAGCCGTACCTCTCGCGAGCCCCTACGACAAGACAGGGTCACGCGAGGCACCGCTTACCTCTACCTGCGGGAGTTGTCACCATCCCTTGGGTGGGTGTATCCCCGCCGAGCTACTGAACCACATACGAAGGTTTTTCGTATGCAATTGCGGAGGTGGCCCAGCCAAGGGCGTTTCTCATTCGCTGTAGCATAGGGGGTACGCGCAGTCGAACGCCCAAAAATCGAACCTGCATGTGAATCGACGCACTGGGGGGCTGAGGCCCCAAACGCGACTCGGTGCCGGTCGACTAGGACGCGTCACACACACCACGCGTTATACCACAACACTCACATCCACAAACACACGACGCAACAACACAACAATACAACAACACTCCTAGTCCCTTTAGTATCCAACCCATAACTTTCCGAAGC